CATTAGGCTCCTCTCCAGACTATAAAAAGACTGCTTGTGCACATACCCCTCTTGCAGAAGTCAACGCATTGACTAAAAGTTGGAGAACTTTTGTAACTAGCTTGGCAGGATGGATTGCTGCCAAGGTTTGTCTGAGTTGCTGCCAAGGTTCTTATCTGTTTGTTATGCTTGGCTTTCAGCCACCGAGGTTTTCATTTCTTGTTAATAAAGTACATTCCAGTTAAGCTTGTCTCGGTATTCATTACTAGATGGAGGAGGGGGTCAGAACAGTCAGCTATAAAATTATACAGATTAAATAATGATGAAGTCAAGAATAATAAGGAATTGGTTAATACTGTACATTCCAGTCTTCATTTGTGCAAACATTAAGCACAGGTTGTCATCTCAGATTACATCATTTCTTTGCACATGGCTTGATTTCATTTATGTAAATTGAGGACAGTATAAATTGGCATTAGCTAATTTAATACTAAATGTTAAATAAATCAGTGTAGCTAAAGCATTTGCACTTTCAGTCTGCTCTTGCCTATTAAGTATAGCAATACAGTGCTATGTTTCCAAAATACTTTTTTTTAACTTCCCTTTCTAGAAATCTTTGGCAATGTTGTCCAATAGGTTTGGTTCATTTTAAATGGATTTTAAAAATACCAGTTATAACAACTTCAAATAATCTGGAAGGAAGTATGCATGCAATCTCTTCACTAAAAAAAGTATTTGTGTAGACAACATAGCAAGACTTGGAGTATTAGAGTAACTATAACTGGTTTTATAGTAGATAAGTGAAAGGTTAAATTAATCCTGCCTGTACTGTACTAACTTAAAAAGCACTGTTTTATATGTGTGATAAAGATGGATATAGCCTTTGTTCAATTAATTTCTACAAGTTAGCTCCCCAGCAGAGGGCAGATATGATTTACTTCCTGTGTAACTTTAGAAAAAGTATCTTCCATTTGAAATTAGAGTTAACTGCCTTCTGATTAAATGCTGAAAAAAGGAGATATAATACTATTATATCTGCAGTGTTCAGACCAGAGAACACTATTACATTTGAAAACTCTTCTGCATATCAATCTCATCTCTGCTGAAACTAGTTGCAAATGAAGTTGACATATGAATTTGCTGGAGAAGATAAAATGCCTCTTTATTACTGTCTATAATAAAACCCAATGTTTCTCAGCCTTGGCAGTTTAAGATATGTGGACTTCAAATCCCAGAATTTCCCAGCTGGGAAGTTGTGGTTGAGAAAAAGCCGAGATTTACTGTGACTCAATGTGCAGCCTGTACATTGAGCTGCTTTAGCGAAGGGGAAAAAGTCCCAATATGTCATGTGACGCTGCCGTGACAATGTGAGTTTTGACACCCCTGTTCCAGAGTCTCGAGACTTTTTTTACATTTTAACAATCAAAGCTGGATGCAGTATTCCAAGTGTG